TTGAACAAGGATAAAGGAAAAACAATATAAAAATTTTGTATAGTCAATTTGTCATAACTATGCAAAATTAATGTGTTAGATTGGGCTTTCCCAAAAGTAGACTCCAAAACAGAATAAAATGTGCAAGGAAATGCCTGTGGGAAAAAAGGGCATATTTCATGTATGTTAACTTAAAATATATAGGAGAGTTGGGATGTATGCACAAAACAGCTTGGTGCTGGGTGACGAGAGCAGGAAGTAGGTTGGGTAGAAGCACCCTAGATTGCTGTTGTATCCAAGAAAGGCTGGGGGCGGGGCGGGGGGGAGTCCTGAAGCCAAAGTGGGTCAGTGGAGGAGTCCGTGTCTCCCAGAAGTTGACCTGCCTGATGTTTCTGTTGTGCTCAGTCACTGACTAGGAAGCAAGGCCTCATGGCCCAATGGGATGATGAATTTCAGAAGCAGGGCTTGGGGATCTTGGTCAATGACACCCCTTGTAGTAGGAAAGCTACAAGGAATGCTGCCCCCCCCTTTTTCATGTAACCCCTATAGTTCTTCCTGGAAGAACAAGTTGATGCTTTCAGACTCTAACATTTTGCTGAAATGTGAAGCTGCAAGCACTTCAAAGCACGTATGCACCCACAAAAGTGAAAGATAAAACAATTTTCAAAACAATCATGCACCCATAAGTTGGTTTCATGATGAAAGCATTGAGATGAACATATACAGCAGCACAAGTACACACCGGTGCATGGGATATATGAGAAGCCAACTCTCCTTCTGCCCATCCTTCAAATATACAAAAACATGACATAGGAAGCCTATACTTTTCTGACTGGGAGGAAAGAAAGGAAAACGCATTTATTAGGATTCTAGTTTTGTGCCAGGCACTGCAGCAGGTGGTTTCGTGTATGTTAACTTAAAATATAGAGTACTATTTATGTCCCTTTTTGAATACTCATAACAACCTTCCAGTAGATGCTATTATTTCTGCTACAGATGAAGTAATGGGATTCAAAGAGGTCATAAATTAAAAGTTATGAATAGGTAAATAAAATATTTAGAACTTGAGTGTATTCACAGTGGTCTCTGGTGGGCTTCCACAGCTATTAGATAGTCTTTTTTTCATTCTTTTGGATTTTTAAAAAACTGATAAATTAATGTTTAATTTTTTTACTGTGATCTATAAGTAAAAATAAATCTGCTTTAAATCACTTGGGGGAAAGTTAAGGAACTTGTCTAAGTTCTCACATCTACTAAATGATAGAACTACAGCTCTTCAAGTTTCCCAATAGGTAAGTAAGAGAAGGGCGTTCTTGGGTGTTCTCTGATATACATTTTTTTATTGCAAGGTAGTTTTTCCCCCAAAGCATCTTCAATCTCCTAACTTTTGCAACTGAGGGTATTTTATACCATCTTTTTGGATCAGCCCTATCCAGTTTACAGTATGGTATCAATCCTCTCACCAAAGGGATATCTTAGGAGTCAAGGGGAGGATCTTAATATCAAATCAGCATCCTTACCCAACTCAGGTGTGGTGCCAATGACTATGATCCTTTTCTGTATTCCAGATTCAGTAAGTGGTCCCCGCCTTGATTACCTGTTCATTCCTCCAGTCTTGCTGTGACTGCACAACTGTTTGAATTCCTTCTCATCTTTCGGAGAGTTAGAGCTCTTTGCCTGAGGGACAGTTGCAATGGCTGGGTCCTTTTTTAGACTTCTTGTCTTCAGGCCTCTTATCATTTATACCCTATAGTTCTGAGGCTTTCCTGATGGCAAATTCATCCTTGTGAATCTTTGGAATTTAGATACTGCATAGTCTGCTACATTTCTCTACTAATCAAAGCTTTGTTATGCCACTTACTTCAGAGTCTATCTCTAGGCAAGAATGACTCCCACTAGCAAGTAAACATTTTAACTTGTTCTCCCATCATTATTTTTGGCTTATTAATACAGGGCTTCCTGGTATCCATCTTGTCCAAATGAAAACCCAGGAATAATTATAGATACAATTTACTAAGCACTTTTCATTACCCCAGTTAACCAACATAATAGATATTATCACCATCTGTGTTGAGGAAAATTGAGATGTGGAGAATAGAACATTGAGATGTGGAGCACATTTGGTGCCCTAAAAGCAGACATTGAAATAGATTAGGGATCAATATCTCTGAAAGGAAGGGGGAAGAAGCAAGATTGGGAAGAGGAAGAAATCAAACTGTAATATAGGCCTAATGTAACTTTGACTGACTCAACCAGGAGCTCTGGGTCAAGTATTACCCACCCACAACCCATGTGAGGCTGAGATGGTCAGCCCTTTATACACTTTCTTAGCTCCATTGCTGGATGAAGACTGTCATGGGAAAGCATGACCTTGGACAAGGTGAGTCTTAATTGAGTACACCCTGAAGAAGTTTACACCTGGAAGCTGTCTGCTGACTCCATTCTCCAAAGCTAAGAGCAAATCTGTCCTTGAAGGAGGATCTGAGTGGTACATATCTGTGTCTACTGAGATTCTAAGAATCTGGGAAATCTATGAAACATTCTAGAGCTAGTAAGTGACAAAGATTTGATATCAAGTCTTTTGTGACTCAAAAGTCTATGCACCTCACCAATTCATAATTGGTTTCCACATGTCTACTGAAACCAACTGAATCAGAATCATCTTAGGAGATTTCTTTAAAATAGGAATATTGGCCTCAATCCTGTGAGATTTACAGTCAATGGATTTGGATAGATCCTGGAACCACACCCAGTTTATAAAAGTGTCCAGGCTCATTCTAAAGTATAGTTATATACAGAAACCACTGACACCAAAGAATAGGAAACATTTTAAATACTGGACTACATTTATGGTAAAAGCTATACAATGTTTTGAGGGTGTTAAAAATTCAGATCCAGGATTCATTCCTATGGGCTGATGTCTAATGTCAGTGGCAAAATTTTAAAGATTGGCTTAAAATCTTGAACCAAAGATGGGCTTTCATTTGGACAAGATGGATACCAAGAATCCCTGTATTAGTAAGCCAGGACTCTGCTTCTCCCTTTGTGATTACTGGTCTCTGATCACCCTGGGGTAAAAGTACTGGAGGAAGTATAGCTGTTTCACAGTTCATGAAAGCAAGTGAGTCTATAAGTGAACTAAAGACTTTGCCTTCTAAGTGGCGCCTACAATGTCTGCAAAATGAATTTGAAGATGCCAAATTCTATTTTGCCTTTTGTCTTCCACCATAAAATTGGAGATAGTTTTAAACTGTTTTTTAAATACAATGCAATGACTTTTAAGATTGTAGTAAATTCTTTAAATTTGCACATTTAAATAAATGTGTAATTTTCTCATCAAACAATACATGAGTATATAAGATAAGAGTCAAGACTGAAGTTTGATTACTTGAGGAGATATAAATGTAAAGCAAAATTGGCTTGTTGCTGAGCTAACAAATTTCTGAGACAGGGCTTCTTTGAACTCTTCTTTAGTAAAATGAAACAAGAAGTCTGATTCTGAGGGAGGGCTCTGTCTCCAGTAGGGCTCTTGGGCTCCAGCTATGGAAGCATAAAGGACCAATCATACTGATAAAAGTAACAAAAGAGATATAATGTTAAAAATACATATTGCAAAAGGTATTTTTTACAAATTCTACCTAATTAACATAGGCTTTTTTTATATGAAGAAGAACTTTAAATAGTGAATCATAAAGGTTTTGTTCTGGGATAAACAAAGTTTATATAACGTCTCTCCAGTTTGTGACAATTTCCTGAGATCCGTGGTTTACGGTTCGTGGCTTTTGACTCCTGTGGCCATTTTAAAGGGACAGTGAGCCTTGCCTCAGCTCCCATAGGCAGTTTGCACTCCACCTTGAGTATGGAGAGCTGTGTAAATGCTGCATGAGTATTTCACAGGGTGTTTACTGGATAAGGAATGGAAGCTCTAAGAAGTTATATATAATTGCTGTGGGTTACACTGTGGTGGTTGAAATGCATGAATGCCTAAGTTTCAACACTAGAGGTTCAAATGAGAAAATTACAGCATTGGTTACTGAGCTCTTTAAAATCAGGAACTGCGACTAACTCATCTTTGTGCTTCCAACCTGTGCACAATTGTTTATTTGGATCAGTAAGTACATGAAAACTGTTTTTTAACCTCATGCACTTAAAACCATTGAAATTTGGCCTTGTAAGAAAATCGCCAGCCTCTGAGAGAAAGACTCACAAAACCAACTTCTGTCAATGACCAGAGATGTCACAAATCTAGATTTCTCATTTGGAATCTCAAGTGGGTGAATTTAATTAACTGCTATAATTAGAAGCTAATTATTAGAAGTGGGCTTGGAGCAAACAGTCCCACATCGACCCTGAGCTATCTGATCTCGAACTTTTCCATTTATTCCCTTATTGTTTCAATTCTATTTAATCCAGACAAAAACCACATGAAGAATGATGAAAATGAAAGTTTCCTTTAATTGGTATTCAAGATGTCATTTAGCTCAAAACTGTATTATTTGGAGAGAACATGCAGCTAATGCTAACGATGATCTTGTTCCATTGATATTTATCTACAGATTAAAGGCAGTTGCCCTTCCCTCACCTGTTGAGGAAGTGCTTCCTGCCACTCATTTTCTCCATAACCTCAAGTAAACCTCCATTGGTTTAATGACAATAAGCAATCTTATTGTACCATGACATGATGTTTGGGAAGAAAAATCTAAAATCTTTTACATGAAAAAAGTTTCATGATCACATGCTATGAAAAGGGGGAAAACATATACTTACCATAGGTAGTTTTTACCACAAATTTCTTGACCTTGGTTTCATTAAAGTCTCAACCTAAACATTGCAACCATATAGATTTCTTTAGAGTTTGTTCATGTCGTTGAAATTTGATTGAGAAAAATTTTAACATGGGACACAAAGGGTGATAAATGGAAGGAGAAGTTAAGGACTGAGCTGCTTTGCAGATCAGAGCATTTGAAAGTGAACGCCCAATGTGACAAGAAGCAAAAACCACAGGATACCATATACCTAGTGTCTGTACCTATATCCTCTCTCTATTTCACAGATGTCGCTGGGGTAGTGAACCCGATCCAACCCTGAAGAGCTCAGGAGAGGAAGGGAAGCCTTCTATTTGAGAAGATTTTGCTCCCGATGGGCACAGGAAAAGACATTGCCTGCCATGCTTGGAATTTGGATCCTCTTCTTAATCGCACCTCTGGGCATCTGGAGTATCGAAGGTGAAACGCCTACTTAGATTATTTTTTATTTTATTTTATTTTCCTTAGGGGCATGTGGGAGGTAATGTTTTTCCTTGCTGATCTTACTGGGATGTGGTGTTTATGTGGAAGACAATGGTAGATAAAAGGAAGTAGTTAGATTTGCTCACTGAAGACATTCTAGGACACTAATAGAACATGGTATTGTACTCAAGTCGTTTTGGCTGATTTTCTTAAAAACATGTTCTATTAGTAAGAAAAAAGAATTGGGTAGATGTTATAAGTAGTTAGGGACAAATTTAGCACTACTACTAGCAAAACGGCTCTGAATGTCATACTGATGGTGAATGGCTTGTTCTTTCCAAACCGAAGCTTGACAGAGTGAGTGTTGTATTACTCGGTTCGGTAGGAAAGGTATCAAATACCTCACTCCATGGCTACTCTGGAGTAATGTTGCTAAATAAAATCATACTACTTGCTTCCATGGAGTGTGTGCCTGGAGAATACTGATTGAGAAAATGCTGAGAAAGATAGAATTGGAGCATTCTGTCATTGCGTCTAAGAAAATGGTTCTGATTCGGGTGTCATTTGACATAGAAAACAGCTTGGGTTCTGCATAGATGATGTTCGGCCACTTCTGCAAAGATTTTATGAGTTCATTAGCTCCCTAACTTTGACACATTGTAAAGGGCTATAAATAGCTACCAGCGGTTTTAGATTTTTCTCAGGTCTGGTTTCAAATATCCTACTTTATAATAACCACAAGCACACATACTCTTTCCAGTTTTAAATCCAAAAATATGGCCCCTGAAAACCTATAAAATGGTATCTACAACTCTGGAACAGGGTGATTTGGAATTTGTCTCCATGATGCCAGGATGGCACATAACAAGGAGCAAAATAAAACTTCCCTTTAGTCATCTAAGTATTTTCATGATTGTATATTTTTATATGTGTATATTTACTATTATGTTGACACTTTCCATAAGATGCCTTCAATCACATAGCTACAACTGGAGTCAAATATTATAAATATTATTAAAAATCATTTATACCAATTTGAAGAATATATAAATGATTCCATGTAAAATGAAATAAAATAATTTTTAGTGCTTTATCAGACTGGGATTGGGGTACAACTTCTATTCCCCCTCCCAACATGCTTACAAAAAAGAACTTGAGTGTAAGAATGGGGTTAGTTTACTGGCTTTGCCACTTACTGTGTGTGTGTGCCTTTGGTTAAGTTTCTTATCTTCTCTTATCCTTAGTTTCCTCCTTTGTAAAATAGAGATAATAATTGTACCTAAATTATGGGCCTATTGTGGACACTGCATATGCAGTAATATGGATAAAATAACTGGCACAACAAGTACACACAATAAAAGCTTGCTAAATGTTAATGGCATTTTTGCTAATATTATTTTCACAGGCAACCCCCACAAAATTCAATTAAATGGGTAGCAAGGTTTAACATTACTATTTAAAATAGTTGAGTTTTTAAAGCTGAAATAAAATGAATATATTTGGCCCAAAACATAGTTAACCGAATTCTTTGGAAAATGAAAGGGAAAGCATTGGATAAAGTCCTGGCCAGGTATCTTACATAGCAGTTGATGGATTATGGCATTTTTTTCATTAAACTAGGACACAGGTTGAGATAAAGGAATGTTTGGTGAGATTTGTTCTCCCAGACAGAGCGAATGACTATTTCTTAAAAACCACACAACCTTTATATCTTGGAGAATTCCTGTGATTTAGTTAATCACTGAATTCTTTACACTGGCACAGTTTCAAAGTGTTTAAAAATAACTTAAAAAGATATTTTTCATCCTCCACTTCAATTCAATGTGAGATTGGTGTGTCTCTTCCCAGAAATCAGGCTGCACTGAGAATAAGGTTGTGAAAAATGTAACATTCACTATAAACTTACTTCTCTATAATGAAATCATGCTTGCTTAAGTGTTTCTCAAAAGTACTTAATGGAGGCACTCTGCCCCTTGATATCTGACGTAGAATTTCTAGTCCGATGAAAAGTATATGTGCAGAACATGCTGGCAGGGACTAGGCTGCAGTGCAGAAGCCTCTGTCAGTCACCTGCCTCACTGCAGGTGAGCAGCTCCAGCTGTGAGGCCCTGGGCCACTTGTTCAGTTGAGGGTCAACCTAGGATTCCACCTTTAAGCAGGCAGAAGCACTGCAGCTAATGTCTGACTACACACCTGGCACTATATATGATCCCGAATGAAGACTGTAGGAAATCTTTGATTGATCACGGCTTATTGTGAGAAAAAAAAATCCTAATCTGATCTGGTAGCAGAGGACACTCATAGTTGGGCTCTTTTGAGAACACAGTGGTTATGGCCAAGTCTCCTTTGGGTCTTGCCTATGTCTTCTTTAGCCTGTGTTGTGATACTTCGGTATGAACCATGGATCCATACTCCACATCCCACCCACAAAGATTGTGTTGCTTCACAGTGAACTGGCCATATTGTTAGGTCAGAGCAGAAACATTAGGACAGAAAGTGCTCCTTGAAGTTTCAGGGTCTTTATCAGGCTTATTTCTAAGACTGTATCTTTTTGTTCCTGTTGAAATGGGCACAGGAAGTAGAGCGCTGCCTTCTGCCAAATGCCTGTGTACTGTTATTATATGAATGCCTGCCACTAAATATGACTACCTTTGACGTAAATGTCTAGGAATACTTTCTGCAGTGGCAGGATTTCCTGAATTAAGGTATGAATAGGTTAATCCCTATGCTGATTACAGCTTTGAAAAGACTTCCTAAACATTAAAAAGCTCTTTAATTAACTGTTGCTTCCTCTTCCCCACTATCAAAATTTCCTCTATTGTAATGTTGAAGTGAAGTGCTATTTATCTTGCTTCACTGGAACTCTCCTACTTAATTTCTATTATTTGTGAATTTCACCTTTCCTGAGAGTTCAGAGTTGTTGAAAGAAAATGTTCAGTATCTGTAATCAGGTCTAAAAATGAAATCAACGTTTTGCTTTGTTCTTTGGAGAGGCAGTGGTGGGACTCTAGAGCTAGGACTAGATTACTATTCCATCTCTGCCATTCACTGGTTCTGTGACTATAATCTCTCTGATTCTCTTCCCTCATCTAAACAATGGGGACAATAATGACATTAACCTATTTGGGTTGACAAAGTCATCTATAAGTAACTGTTGATATCATTACCTGCTATCATCCCCAGTCACCAAGAAATGATAATAGAATTTGGGAGTCACGAGATTTGAGCTACATTCTGTCATCACATTGTATCATAAGCAATTTGCTTCACTTTTTCAATATTCTCCATTCTCTTACCTTAAAATAAGCTCGGTATTATCCACCTTTACGGTATCCTCTCATGGATTCTTACTTCTGTGTTTATCCCATAGAAGAAATTACTTACATGCATGTTTCTGTGTGTATACAAGCAGAGGTATCACTGTAGTTTTCTCAGAATGTAAATATGTACATTTTGAGGTTCACTTTGAACACAGGCCAAGAGAGTGTTAGAGGCCAGTAGTAGGGAAACATCAGGTTTAGCAGGTAGAGCTCCGTACCTCCTCTCCTCCTTCCTAATAGCCACATTTATTTTATGAGTACAACCTGGAATTTGAATATATCACAAACAATCCATTGTCCAGAAGTGGCTATAAGGAAGGTTGGGGCATTTAGGTTCTAGCTAGATGGTCATGGCTCCATTTCACTTCTCTGATATTAGAAGAGGAGAATTAATATTTGGGGGGGGGGTGGCAAGGAGGGCAATTGGCAGTTTCTGCCTGCATAGATATTGTTAAGTATCTTCTAGGGCTTTGAAAATGCCAGTGAATCTCAGTGTAGCAGAATGTATTAGGATGCCCAGGAAGTATCTGGGAAAGAAGTGAAAATGAACTTTCCCTGTGTCTTTCCAATAACACATAAACCTAAACTTACTCTGAGCACCACACTTAACCATTCTATCACTGTAGGCAATATTTAGAAATACTCATGTTGGTTTCTTTTTTAATAAATTTTTTTGGGTGATATTGATACTAAGATCATATAGGTTTCATGTATACATCTCTATAATTCATGATCTGTATATTGCATTGTGTGCCCACCACCCAAAGTCAAATCACCTTCTGCAACCGTGTATTTGGCCCCCTTTACCTTTTACTAGCCCCAACCCCCTCCCTCTGGTAACCGCCATACTGTTGCCTGTGTCAAATAGTTTCAGTTTTATACCCCACATATGAGTGAAATCATATGGTTCTTAGATTTTTCTGACTGACTTATTTTGGTTAGTATAATATTCTCAAGGTTCGGGTTTTTTTTTTTATGTCTGAGTAATATTCCATACTACTTTATCCAATCCTCTACTGAAACACACCTTGGTTGTCTCCATATCTTGGCCACTGTGAATAATGCTGGAATGAACATAGGGGTGCATATATCTTTGCAAATAAATGTTTTAAAGTTTTTTGGGTAGAGACATAGGAGAGGGATTGCAGGGTCATCTGGTTACTCTATTCTTAATTTTTTGAAGAATTGCCATACTGTTTTCCATAGTGGCTATACCAATCTACATTCCCACCACCAGTAAATGAGGTTTCCTTTTACTCCAAAACCTCTCCAATACTCGTTATTACCTGCCTTATTGATTATAGCCATTCTAAAAGGTGTGAGGTGGTATCTCATTGTAGTTTTGATTTGCATTTCCCTAATCACTAGTGAGGTTGAACATCTTTCCATTTATCTGTTGGTCATTTGTATGTCTTCTTTGGGAAGTGTCTGTTCAGGTGCTTTGCCCATTTTTAAATTGCATTTTTTTTTGTTTGATGCTGAGTTGTATGTGTTTTTTATATATTTTGGATATTAACCCTTTGTAGGACATGTCATTTGTAAATATTATCTCCCATTTGGTTGGATGCCTTTTTGTTTTGTTTTTTGTTGTGCAGAAGCCTTTTAGTTTGATATAGTTCCATCCATTTATTTTTGTCTTTACTTCCCTTGCTTTTGGGGTCAAATTCATAAAATGTT